TTAAATCCCATTACATGTATATATTGTATAGTGATAGAATATAGGTTTTTGGTGTATTGCATCCAAGTAGTGTACATTATATACCCCATAGGTAATTTTTTATTCTTATCCTTTCCCACATTCTTTTCTATGATGCTAAATTTAAAAATGTAAATACTTGACACAGTAACTCAGAGATTTGGATCTAAGTTCACTTGGTTTTGCTGATTGCAATGGCTGGAAAAGATAATGGCTACACAAAATATGTATATCCAAATGGAAGAATTATGCCATAGGTTGAGATCACTAAATTTTTCAGTTCCATTCACTACCTTTCAGAAAGGGTTTTGTTGAAATTTTCATCTTCCTTATGATGATGATATAGTTCTTACAAACCAATCAAAAGTTGTATAGTGACGTGAATATAGCTCACTTAAAGAATGTGCTCAAAATCCAATGATTGTATTTGTTTGGAAGACTTTTTAAACTTTTAAAAAATCTACCAAATTTAATGTATAGATAGGCAATTTTTTTTGTAAAGAATAGGTGACACTTGCTGTTTTGGGTAACAAAATCATATAACATCCCTTTAATAAATGCACTCTCCAGTGTTTGAATTTATTTTAAAGCACAAGATTTTTGGTGGGGGAGACAGAATCTTACTTTGTTGTGCTTGTCTCTACTTGTCGTAGAGTTCCGTGGCATCATAGCTCCACAGCAACCTCTAACTTTTTGGGCTCAAGAGTTCCTCTTGTCTCAGCTTTCAAAGTACCTGGGAGTACAGGTGCCCATCCCAGGGCTTGACTATTTTTAATGACAAGGGTCTTGCTCTTACTCAGGCTGGTCTTGAACTCCTTAAGCAATCCACCTACTTAGGCCTTAAGAGTGTTAGGATTACAGGCGTGAGCCACTGTACCTGGCCATAATGCACTATTTTTACTTCCCATGTTGTGAAAATGCCTTTCTCTGAACAGAGGGATTAGTATCTGCCATAACGATACAAAATAATTGAACTAACCATCTTCAGTTGGGCTGTGTGTCTAAACAGTCGAGTTTGCTTGCTTTCCTGTGCATGGGCTGTGTGTGGGCAGATAGCATTATTATCTCTTCACAGAAGGGAACTGTCATTGGAAAGATACCGTTTTACTGAGTACACATTGTTCTATTTGTTATGAAAATAAAGAAAATTAAAAAGACTATATCCTACGTAGACTGCTAATAAGGGTTTGCTCTGTCATCTAGGCTGGAGTATAATGGCATGATAATAGCTCACTGTAGGCTTGAACTCTTGGTCTCAAGCAATCTTCTTGCTTTCACCTTGCAATGTGCTGGGATTATAGGGGTGAGCTACTAACTCTGGCCTGCTTGTTTTCTATTAAAAATTAAAATGAATAACCAGTTTGAAGTTCAACGGCCCTTTGACTCCCTCCTTGAGATACAGAACAAACCTCTATGTGGTATAATTTTTTTGGCCGCTGCCTATTTCATTACTATTTTAAGATTTCTATTAAAGGATCTTGCTTTTTATAAATCGACTAAAGTGATAAAATTCTTCAGCACCCAAGTGGGCTGTATGGGATGCCCACTCTTCCCATAGGATTCTTCTAATGTTCCTTTTGACGCATGATTCTGATATAGGGTATGAGTAAACATAATGAAGAGTCAATATTTTCTTAAACCTGCTAGGTGTGGTGGTTCATGCCTGTAATCCTAATACTTTGGGGGAGGCTGAAATAGGAGGATTACTTGAGGCTATGAGTTTGAGGGCAGCCTGAGCAATTATAGTGAGACAAAATACAAAACTATAAAAATAAACCAGACATC